CTTGCTTTCCTAAGCACCCCAACTAGCAAAAAAATCCGTTCTGAGAAAACAGGCCGAGAAAGTTCAAAACATGTGTTTTCTTCAAAAGGCTCCAGCACAGTAGCTAGAAGTGTCCTGGCGCACTCTTTTCTTCTTTTGCCTGGCCTCCATTTTCTCCTGGTGTCTTTTAGAATTCTTTTTTAGGCGTAAAGCGTCTTTTTCACGAGCTCGCTGGATGGCCAGATGACCTGGTTGAAGTCCAATGGAGTCCGATATCACTTGGGTTGCTTTGCAGCAGCCGGCATTGTAGCACAGCACTGCTTCATGCAGTGCTGTTTCTACCGCGATCAAGGACGAGTGTTGGTTCTTCGGCATCAGAGACCACAGAATGGAGTGGAATGATTCTGATGCATTTTGCGTCTTCGCTCCCAGGCAGCGCTGAAGAAGCGACTTTTGTGACAGTCTTTCGTAGATGGGCAGCATAGCTGCAGCGACATAGTCCGGTAGGCTGTGTTTATGGTTTGGCTGTGGCTCGCGCTTTGCCTCTGCAGCTCTATGGCGGCACCACGATTGAGCCCCCTCTGGGCAAAGTTCATGGTGAGGGTCCTGGTCAGTCGATGTGACGTGGTGATATGTTGCCATCACTGCACGCTGCATGGCTGTTAGGTCAGTTGAATTGTTTCTCAGGGCCCAACCATAATATCCTGTCAGCTTTTCAATGAGGCTTTAGTCAGCTTCCCCTTCCCACTCAGTGGCTTATCACTTTTCTGCACAATGTTTAGAAGAGCACTTCCAATCCTTTTCTGAACATGGTTCAGACATTCTTCTTTACAATTGGCACTAGCCCGTACACATTCTCTTCTGTGAGGGCAGCGAAGGTACGGCTGTCTCCGTCGGACACAAGAGTGGTGTACCGCAGGCCATGCTTGGATACAGACCGCCCAAAGAGAGTCAAGCCTGCCTCCACTTCCATGCTTCCCGATTTTGCGTCCGTTTTTCTGGCAAATGTGGTGCTTCTGCCAGCTTTCGTATGCTGCATCTCCAGGTTTGGGCCCTGTTTGGCATCCAAGGCAGTGGTTTGAAAGAACTACAGCATCCAAGATGAGACCTGTAAAGAAGTCAATTACCGATCCCACTCTGATGTGTGACCCCGCTTATGCCATGTGCCATCGTACACTACGGTGATGTCCTTGCAGAAGCTGGGGTCCATTTCTTTATATGTTTTGATCACTGCTGTGGCAGAATCAGCATAAAACTTCTCCAAAGCGGTGGCCTCTGGCTTCCTGAACGTCTCTTTCAAGTGCTTTTGAAACGTCTTGTGGTGAAGACCTCTGTAAGAGACGTTCATGGCAGCCCAAAAGTCATTAGGAGCTGTTTGCCCCTTGCCTATTTGCTTTATAGCCATTATGGCGCGGACATTTACATCGAAGGCCTGCGTGTCCTTTTTGGGGGCGATGTCCATAATTTATTGACGGTGCCACAAGAGGCGCACAAGTCCAAGCTTGGTGCTCTCTCGGACAGTCATAGCACCTTTCAAACATTCTTTGCACACTGTGCGGCTGAGCACGACGTTAAAGATGTTCATTTGAGCAAGCGAAAAATGTTCGCCCTCACTTGTCACTGCAGGTGCAAGAGCCGGCTGCATCAGTTGAAATTTCTTCTGCATCGCCGGCGTAGACTCGAGTTCAGCGCGAACGGCGTCACGACGTTTCGCATTCGCATCGATTTCTTCCTTCGTTAGAAAACGCGTCCGCAGATGAAGCGACGGTCCACTCACGCTCGATGGCGGCACCGATTCAGACGAAGTGCTGGGTCCGGCGATATCAGAAGCACTCGGTGTCACCCTGGATGGCATCGATTCGGAGCACGTGTCGAGCCCGGCGATCTCGGAAACACTCGGTGCATTTGCGGCTCCAGCCACACTCGATTTGTCGGATTCTCGACTGGCGACAGCCGACAACACAGTTCCGTCGCTGCAAGCGTTTACGTAGTCGGCACCCGCAGCAGAATAGCGGAATTTCGATGAGCGTACAAGCCGCATAGCGCGCCTCCGCGCACCGGACTTCTGCACTGACTTCGGCTTCGTTGCCGGCATCGCCCGCAACAACAAAGACGAAAGGCACAGAACTAGTGCAAAAGAAAGAAAAAAAAAAAACGAGAGAAAATGATCGAAAAGATAGCACAAGGCGAAGAGCGGCTCGTAAGCAGACGTCTGTCGAGGCGGACGGAGCAGAGAGCAACAACGAAGCCAGCGCGCTGGACGCGCCATCGAGAGGAGCGACCGCCCCCGCTGCTGCACAGCAGCCAATGGCGGGCACGCTTTCTCCCGCGAGATATGAATGCGCTACTCTAGCCAATCAGCGCTCCGCATCGCATCGCGGGAAAACGCCAATAGCGTCTCAACTGTGCTGCCGACGCCATTTTGCAAGGCGGCGAACGAGAGAGAAAGAATTCGCGGTCAAAACAACACTAAGATGGCGCGGGACGACCGCATGATCCGGGAATGGTGCGCGCGCGAAGTTTGGTTTGATTTCGGGATTTGCGCCTGTTTTGGACGCCGCGGTGGCCTCGAAAATAGTATTTTTTTGCACTTTGCGGTTGAATTAGGTGCTGATAATTACAGAATAGGTAGTTTATGAGACATACAACCCAAAAATGTGGTTTTTCAAAAACAGACTTTATCGCGATTTTTCGGTTTTCAAGGGCCGCGTCTCCCCTTAAGTACAGCTACAGCAGAATCTCGATCATGCAATTACGGTTGATGCAAATTTCGCGACGATACGGATTTTAAGGTTGTTTTGAATGGGCAACATTATGTAAAATACACCGTGATGTGGTGTTATACGTATGGTTTCCCCAGCCAACGCGGATGATACGAATGCACGATTGACCGCTGCGTGCCACAGCGCGACGCGGCAAGAACATGCTGCGAGGCCGACACAAAAAAATTTTCCCGCCACGCGATAGCATAGTATCGCCTATTTGCTTCCCGGCTTTGACTTCACCTGCTGCTTTATCGCTCTATCTCTCAAACCACATAATGTCAACAACCAGCCGCAAATCAACATGGCAGCGAAAGCATCGGCGGTGAGTAGCGTTGGCGCTATTGCGAACTACCCGCGCGGCACGTCAAAGCTCACGGCCTTGACAAGGACGCGGTCGTCGAGAACCTGGTTTGGATTACGATAGCTATAACACCAGAAGTAGAAGAAGGTGCAGCACCAGCGAGTCGGCTTGCCCGAATGCGTCTTGCTTTTGCACTGCCGGCTGAATCCGTCGGCGCTGCTGTGTCCGCTCGTGTCACTTCGGCTGGCGTGTCTTCCGAAATAACGTTAGTAAAGGTGTAAACTGTTTCTTTTCAGTGCTTTGTATGCATAATTTTAACTCGTTACGAACCGCAGTCCTCAGGAAACGGGCAAAATGAAATAAAGTCTCAAGCGCCAATGGCAGCGGCGGGGGTGGCATGTATACGAGGGGCAGAACAAATGTGAACATCTTCAGCGTGCGCGGACGTGGTTTTCCGGCCGCGCTGGCATTTACGCTCTGCGAATTCTTCAGGACACTCATTTTTTTTTTTCATGTCGACCTCGCGGCGCGGTTTTTGGCTGCTTAAGCGGGGAGGCGAGTGAATTTTCAATAAGTTTGACTGCTTTCGCTTGCTCTAATGTCAAGTGTGAATGCGCTGTGCCAGCAGAATGAGCGAGAAAACCACGGCACTTAATTAAAAGACGATGAAGGCGGGAAGTTTTTAAAGAACATCACAGACTTTTGTTCATCATTTCTATCAGCTTTCAGTTGTTTTGGGTTCATACGAATATTTTACGCGCTCGCTTTGGATTCGTATCACTAAAATTCTACTGTGCTTCAGACTCCAAGGTCAGCTTGCGCGAATTGCTCTTTATATCTGTTATAACTAGAGAAATAAGCAGAATTTAAAAGACAAAACTTGCTCATAGGTATGAAACTGCATCAAGTAAGCAAAAACAATGAAAGAGAAAAGAGAACTTCTAAGTGCCACATCCCCTTTAGTTTTCACGAGGACTTGTTAACCTTCAGCGCACAACAAAAAGTGTTGTCTGTTCTTTTTTTCCATTCATCTTCGATCAGAATTTTGCGACGTCAGTGAGAATCTTGTCCGTAACCTCTCGCGCGGAAGCTCAAAACCACGCTGCTGGCAATACTGTACTTCATTTAAAGCTGCACAAGTCGCCACAAAAATTTAGTCCTTTTACATCCATACCATAGCAGTACTTCTCAAAGCACTCGCCCCCGCCAACAAGCGGGGCGTTCACTTTCGAAAAAGCAAATATATATTCTTTTAAAGGTTGCCATTTACGATGAGCAAATCGCCGCATGTTGGCGTAACTTTCTGCCAACCAGCCCCTGGCTGAGGGAGGTAATGGTGGGCACGGTGCTTGCAGTGACGTCGCAGTTTGCGAACAGGGAGAGGTCTATTCTGAAACCACCCACGCATTTAATTTACAGGCACTGGCAATGTGGTCTCTTCCCGACAGCTCTTCTGGTTGCCTGGCAATTTGTGACAAAACTTGAATACCACTGCTCAGGAGGATTACACTTGTAATGAATAGAGGTATCAGAATAACTTGCTCCGCATTTCGTAATTCTAGTCACAATATAACCAATGAGTGAATTATTGTACAACTTACCGAGCTACACTGAACTAAAACTGATTGCCAATGCCACACATTAGCTGCAAGCATTACTAGAAAAGAAGGAAACCGTTACAGATTCCTGCTGCAACACCCCATGTTCAACCTCCTGTCAATCGCTTATCGCTTTCACCAAAACGGCAGTGTGCAGCGATATATTTCACCGAGGAGCAGAGTCAAAAGCTTTAAGCAAAAGGAATGTCTAGTTTACCGTAAGCCCCATGTTTGTAGTCTCTTCCTCCCCCCTACCACACAGAAAGAGCAAAACCAATTGGTAACCACAAACGAGGATTCCATGTCTCAATGGGGCAAAGCAACACCACACTAACGTCAACAGTATCTTGCACTGACCTCCTGCTTGTTGCCCTCAATGAGCATGGTGATGGCTCGCGTGGGGTCATTGTCGCAGTCATGCAGTGCTATCACGACTGCATCACTGGACTGGCCTGTCACCTCCATCACCTACGGTAGAAATGACAGCAATGAGTATACAATACCTACCACCACCACTGCACTGCCATAAAGCCAATAACATGCAAACAAAATGATAAACTCCTCAAAGTAAGAAGCATTCTATATACACTCGCGACAAGGAATACTTTCTCCGCTTTTTTTTTTGCGCATGGCAGTTACAGCTGTCTATTATTGCAATGCGACTGCATGGAGAGCATCAAGGGATGAGTAAGGGAGCCAAGTACTTGTATACGTGCGACTGGATTGCAATAGGGAGCTTGCATGAACAGCGGCGACGCTATGCGCTCTGGGTAGGCAGCCTTATTTTTGTCAGAGGCGGCCAGGTAGCGCAGCAGCACAGTCGTGTCTCCAAGCGTTGGCGTACCTTGCAAGCATGATCGAGTGCGAGCGCGCCGGAAATTTAACTCCAGGAAGTGTCAAGCACGATTTCAGTCTTAGCGGAAGACTACACCGTAGCGCTACGCCAGAAAGACCTCGAGTGGAAAGACATGAGAATTTGAGACATGAGAATAAAGTCCAGAAAGACCCTCGAGGGCGACAACTTTTTGAAGAGTGGCCGAGTGCGGGAGCCGTGAGTGAAGAAAGTCGCCGTCGACACCAAGGTCGTCACTCAAGTAAGACGTGGTAAAAAAAAAAATTGAGAACGTTCTTCTCGTGCACGTGCGTCGTACTTCACGTAGAATAACGCAGTGGGATGTGAGCAGGCTTCGCTGTTCCCGGCCATGCATGTGTAGTGCGCGGCAAGGATCTCGCCATCACTCTTGCCCATGAACAAGACGTCGACGGGGGCCTTGTGAACACACCGAGAATATAATCGGACCTGAAACAAACATTAGCATCTATGGCAAAACCAAGTAATTTAACACCTCTTACTTGAGTGACGACGATCATGGTGTCGGCGGCGAATTTCTTCACCCACGGCTCCCACAACCAGCTACTCTTCAAAAAGTTGTGACCCTCAAGGGCCTTTTTGGACTTCATCTCCTCCCGGGTTTTCGAACTCGTCCTCAAAACGAGAAATTCATGAATATCGGAGCTGTCGACGCGTGGCCACAAGTGCACGTCACTTGTGGCCGCACGAAACCTGCACGAAGCGTGAATGGGTCCACTCGGAGCAAACTCTCGTCTCTTCTTCGCACCGCTCGAGGTCTTTCTGGCACAGCGCTGCGGTGTAGTCTTCCGGTGAGGCTGACATCGTGCTCGACCCTTCTTGGAGTTAAATTTGCGTCGCGCTCGATCACGCTTGCAAGCTAGGCCAACGCTCGCAAACATGGCTGCGCTGTTGCACTTCCAGGCCGCCTCTGACAAAAAAATGGCTGCCTATCCAGAGTGCGTAGCGTCGTTGCCGTTCATGCAAGCTCCCTATATGTAACAGTAAAGTGGCGTTAGAATATTCTGATCATTCATCAGTCGACAGCATGGCCTTTAAATATTGCAATTTCGACCATAAATGACCAGTGGAAGGCAAGAGAGTGCCTTCCAGTGAAATTTTATAAAAGGATATTCGTCAGTAAAAAGACAGCAAATTAACATCACTAGAGCTCTGGGCTGTAGCAGTAGCCAAGAGAACTTAACTGCTAATACACAGCAGTCTCGAAAGCACACAGTGGTATCGGCAGATCTGTCCACAGAAGCAGCTTGTGCATTGCCAACTGTCATTGAACACAAAAGATCCCACAGCTCGAAGCATCTGCCTTGGCAGCTAAGCTAAGTTGGCATATGCCCAATAAGGAGCAAACCTGTTGCGCTTCTTAGAAAGAAGCAAAACAGTCCCCTCTAGCCTAACGCGGTAGTGTGCGGTGCTATCGGACTGCAAATTGCTTCTCACCTGTTGGACTTTGTTCTTGATGTCCGGATCATCCTGCTTCGTTGGGTCATTGATAATCTGTGCCAGCCTGATCTGTTCGGGAGTTGGCTGCAGAGGGATAAGGCCATCTCAGCGTCAGTTAGGCTGTTCGCAAAAATTTTGCAACAAACCTTGACAAAGCGTGCACACTTTTACTACGACAAATGAGAGTCAGTGAATATGTCTGCTTCAAGCCAGAATTAATTTAATCAGCAGTAGAAAAAATCTCATGCCATCTCAATGCTCACACCCATGATAATCGTGTGGTCAAGTATTTGTGCCGGGATTAGAAAATATTGCCCATCATGCTCTTCTGTTGCGTACCCACCTGCCTTAAGGGCGCGGGGCCTACACATGATGTGCAACTTGGTTCGATCAGGTACCACCAAAAGCAGTTTTTAGAAAAACTAACGAATGCGAGAAGCCCTTTGGATAGGTTCCTTCACTACTACTTCACACAGTCCTATACTACGCTCCCTTATTCTTTTTTTAGTGTCAACCTCTACATATTGGCAACATTTCCTTGGTAGGCCACTGTGGTTAAAAGTCTGTTTAATGAACAGTCGCTAACGAGTCACATTATGTTATGAACCTATCTCAAGCACGAAAATTGCCCTCTTTGCAATACATTTTTGGCGATGTAAATCGACCTTTCTACAAAAAACCATGTGCCGTAATACACCCAAGAATCTGACCAAGCATCGAACAATGGCTACAACTGAATAAGTGCGCTCTGCAAGAAGAGACAGAAGTCTCACATTGTGGCACCGACAACACAACGCTTCTGTGTGTTGGAGGTGAGTGTACACGTACACAATGTACATGGAGAAGCAAGCACATGAAGTATGGGTCAAAATGAAGGTAGTTTCAAATTTATATAGTTCACTGCAAAAGCAATTAACAATACCACTGCCCTTCATCACTAAGCATGCATTAAACATCAGAAGCTAGCACTATAAATAAAACTATCAAGTGAAGTAGAGCAATATTTCGCTACATGCTTCGCTGATTTCCGCTCAATAAATATCAGTTGACCATACTGACCTGAAAAGTAACTATGGCAAAGACGCCCCAAGAGAAGTGCCAGGTGACATTAAGCTATACATAAAACGTGCCAAAGCAAGCTGCTGACCGGTTCATTTTGGGCAAGATTTATGCCACAAACAACACGTGTTGGCAAGCAACATGGGCAGCTAAAAGCAAGCCTTGCAGACAATGTTAAACGTAAAAACAACCGTAAAAAAAAAAAAAAAACAGAGGATGGATGTGATGCAACATGATAGGTGCAATAAAATTCCTTGCGTAACACTGCTGCGGTTAAAAGCACTATTTGTAGTGTTAAATTTACAGCACCACCACTCGCAGGGTTAACACCGAACCTTGAGATTTATACTATAAATGAGAGGTGCGCTAGTCGGTCGTCATTCATCTTCAAAGGTGTGCTTTGTTAACAGACACAGGACACGACAATAAAATACAGAACAAGAGACGGCGTTCTGTCCCCTGTTAACTAAGCTCACATTTAGGCATGAGCGATTCATACAAGTCGGAAGTTATAAGAGTAAACGACAAAGGGACACTGCATTACGGATGGCTTTGCAACGAAAGTTCTTTTCGGCGCCGATGTCCGACGAGGCGGTGTCGACTGCACACGGTAGCACGACTTATTTCCGACAAGAAATTAGCACAGCGCGCGAAACAAAGACAGTATTACGAAAGGAAAGAACAAAGAGGCGCAAAAAAAAAAAAAGTGCGACGCGAGAAGGGTGGCAGCGGGCGCCAGCAGGGACTCACCTGGACTTTGGGAATGAAGCCGTCGGGCGGCTTGGCATGCCCATCTGTGGCAGTGACCGCCTTGGGGGACTGTGTCGTCGCCGCCGACGGTGACTTGTTCCCTCGATCCCGGCTGCTTTTCCCCGCCCTCTGTGTATTACTCGAACTCATCACTTGAATACCGTATGTACAAAATGTTATGTACAAAAGCTGCGGGGAAAGAGAGAGAATTTTTTGAGAACGATCGAAATCGAAGGTACGGCGGTTTCACGTAGCGTTACCGAAGCTAACCGCAAGAAAACCCCCGACCGGGCTGAGAAGCAGACGCGTGCTTGGGCTACGGCGCACTTCGCGCAAAAGGCACGATCTAGAGCAGAAACTACGTCGTCTTCTCGCTAACAGTGCTGCTAAATGGACGACAGAAGCGAAACGCGTACAGTTAAACTCGCGAATTGCGAAACAGCTCCTGCCAATGCCAGTCCGTTACAAAAAAAAATAATAAGACAAAGAACTAACAGGGTCAAACGTTGTCGACGCGATTCAACTTTCACTGGATGGGGATCGGGTTAAATGGAATCGGAGAAAGAAAAAAAAAAGCTCTTGAAAGCGGCACTCTCGGCGAGAGCAGCCACCTCATTCAAATAGAAGCCGATTCACTTCAAGAGATGAGAGTTTTGCAAGACTGCATCGATTCCGGTATTCCATTCGTTTCATAACGACCGGAGCTTCTGCGATGACGGTAGTGGCCGGGGCAAGAGCGAGGCGACACAGAGGTTAGGCCTAGCTCCTAAGCCTCGTACGCGCACACACAATACTCCACGGAAAACAAATTTCCAGCGCCTTACTCAGCCCTAAAGAAAATTCACATCGACGCCTCGGGATCTTGTGATTCGGGAAAAACGTGCAAAAATATCGCGCGCGCAACAAGCCCGAGTACGGAGCCACTTCGGTTATCTTAGAACAATAAAACACGTCCAAAATGCGTTTACCTTGGAAATGCGCTCACAAAACGCTTGTGTGTCACGTGACGAAGCAAACCTCTCGTCGTCGGTGACGTCAAAATGTGGGCGCAGTTTCGTAATTGTGAAAAAACAATATTTTGATACTTTATAATAATAAACAAAATATTTTATTCTAGTTTCACAATCGTTTTGATAAAATTTTTGCTTATTTTTGATAACTGAATGCATACATTCTTCACGACGTTAAGAGTACGTGAAACATAGCCTTAGCGATCGGCTTTTAAAATTGTGAAGGAAGTTGCAAGTTGTAAAAGTGAACAAAGCCAGTTCACGGGGTGAACCAGTTCACAAGGTGCTGCACCTTGCTATTCGTTTCAATGGTGCAGCTTCGGCAACCTCTGAACCCTGCCATTAGGTCCGTTCGATTCACCTGCACCGGTCGGAGCCGGTTCACGGCTGTGCACGCGAAGTTCAGAAATTGTGCAGCGTGAGTTCAGCGGTGCAGGCACAGCACGACACCCGAAACAAATGACGATGTGCCGACAAGGTGTTGGCGTTATTTCTTTTCGGTTAATTTACACCACTCAGCAAACACTGACCTATGGCGAAACGCACATGCGGACAGTTTATGAGGCGCAAACATCTTGGCAAAACACACCGCATTTGTAGAGGCGGGTACGGCGCCTAAGCCACCTACGTCTAAGTGCTGCGTCGTCTGCTCAGCTGCGCGCGCGCCTGCACCAAGCCGGCACCGTCAGTGAAGGAGGTGCAGGAAAATCGTGAACCGGTGCTGCACCTCTTCTGCACCTTTCGAAACGAATGGCAGGGTTCAGCGGTCGTCAATGCTGCAACGCTGAAACGAATGGTAAGGTGCAGCACCTCGTGAACTGGTTCACGTGGTGCAGGCGAATCGAACGGACCTATTCGTTCGAAAGGTGCAGCCAGTGCAGCGCTGGTTCCGTGATTTTCCTGCACCTCTTACGCTGACGGTGCCAGCTTGGTGCAGCCGCGCGTGCAGCTGAGCAGACGACGCAGCACTTTGGCTACACTGCTCTAGATAACTTTGGCGTAAGCGCCGTACCCGCCTCCACTTAACGCGACGTGTTTTGCCAAGACATTTGCGCCCCATAAACTGTACACATGTGCGGTTTTCCATCGGTCAGTGTTAGCTGAACGATGTAAACAGAAATAAGGCCTGCACTTTGTCAGCACCTCGTCATTCGTTTCGGATGTCGCACTGTGCCTGCATCACTGAACTCACACTGCACAATTTCTGAACTTCACGTGCACAGCTGTGAACCGGTTCCGGTTGGTGCAGGTGGATCGAACGGACCTAAAGTAACAAGCGTAGGATGCTATATTAGGAAACACGTCATTACGCTGAAAACATGTCACAAAAAAAAAAAAACGCAATAATTCGTATTGCTCAAAGTAAAAAACAAAATCACTTGAAAGCTTGATTTAGCATTAATAGACCAAAAGATGTTACCGGCAACAGATTGATCTACTTTTTTAAAACAAAACATGAGCGGGAATTTTAAACACAGTAAGTAAAAGACGTAGTAAACTCTATTGAGCTCTTCAGTGTTCCCTCAAAGGACAGCTGCCTAGTACTCACGTTGAGTCGCAGTTAGGGCAGTTTTGATGGGGCACAATGACGCAAAACGTCAAGGGCATTTGCGACTGACTGTTTGAAAACGAGGTTCTCTCCGACTTGGCCCCTGTGGTGTCGTTGGACGCTGCAGCACTTTTCCCCGTCTGGCAATGCTGAGAACGAGGAGAAGTGTCACATCGCTGCACAGTGCCCTGCAGCCATATCAGACGCAAACGTCACGTGACTAAGATCGTGATGCACTTTGAAACTTAACTGCCAGTAGTGGCAGATGCCCCGACTGCGGCGCGTTTCGTCCGGCAAGCTTATCTGCCGTATGCGCGTGGCGTATCAGTATTTGTCATTGCATGCCATCGGTTAAACTTCCCCAAACACTTTGTCATGGCGTGCATTTCCTTTTGACGTGTAGCTACGAAGGTCGGATCTCTGACGATCGGTGACGCGCGATTTCCAAGATCAGTGGCGTAAATCATGGGGAGGCACTCCTTGCAGGTGTCCCCGTGGGATATATCTTTCAAGCATCGAATTTGAATGATTTGAAAATTTAATATAGCGCACCCTGCTTAAGATCATCTTTGAAACCTGAAACCTTTAGAATGAGAAGCGAAGTACTAGCGGCGTCAAATGAAGCCCGAACAGCGGAGCCCGAGCTTGAAGCATCAGAAACAGTATAGTGTGGGCCGTCCAGTCATCACCATTGTCAGGCGTGCACATTCGGTTTGGCAGCACTGCGCGATCCCTCTAGAGTGCGTTATCTCCGTTTCTGCCCTAGTTTTCGTACGGCTTGATTGATATGTGGGGTTTAACGTCCCAAAACCACCATATGATTATGAGAGACGCCATAGTGCAGGGCTCCGGAAATTTCGACCACCTGGGGTTCTTTAACGTGCACCCAAATCTGAGCCCACGGGCCTTCAACATATCCGCCTCCATCGAAAATGCCGCAGCCGGGATTCGAACCCGCGACCTGCGGGTCAGCAGCCGAGTGCCTTAGCCACTAGACCACCGCGGAGGGGCAGTTGTCGTATGGTGATAATGGTGACCATCGCGAGCGTGCCAAGCGTTTTTTATCGTATCACTCGCAATTCCTTGGTTTTACTTCAGCGTCGCAGTGCAATCAGTGTCTTGACAAGATAAAACAAAAAAGAGAAATATTATCGGCTTTCAGTTGATTTTCAAACGATCGTCGTATCTCGTTCGCCAGCGCTGCTTCACGTGCACCCTTCTTTCAGAGGCCGACCGGAAACAGCTTCACTTTAACTGGAAATGCCGAGCATTTCTTCGGAAGAGAGAGCGCAAATTGTTTCGCTTTACCGGCACGAAGTGAAACAGATAGTTAAATGTATAAATTATTAATGTATAATGCGTTAAGCCTATAAAAATCACTAAGCAGGTGTATGACGAGTCCATCAGCCTATATTTGTCAGTTAGACAGATATTACGAGTATTTTAAATAGAAAGGGCGCCATTGTGGCTGCGAAAGGTAAACAGTGCGAGATGGTAGGTGTCTGCGATGTGTGTCGGTGGTGAAAACTCCGCCAAAATCGCGGCCATGGTCTAGGCCGCCCCCAAGGAGGACCGGAGACCCTGTGTCGTCGCTGCTTCATGTGATTGCTGGATGCCTCAGTTGAATCTGCAGTGTGGTTTGAGCTAGCGCGGCCGTCCTCCGCGCCGCAGCTTCATCTGAGAGTGTGCGCCATGAAGTTTCTCAGGATGAAGTGCGGATTATTGTTGTTTCGAGATTGCAATATCAAGCGTGGTGTTGTCAAAGGTGAAAGTGTCCTTGCTGCCGAGTTTTGCTTGTCGCAAAGGACAAGGTCGACGATGAAATAAATGCTTTCGCACGGTTCACGTGTGACTGACCGGACGCACATGCATGAAACCCCAGTGAATCTTCGAAGTGTTCTTACGATGAATGGAAACAACTTTATTGTAGCGTTTTTACAAAGCCTGTGATCTCTGAAGGCCAAAGCTACTGCATTGCCAGCTGTTTTGTTAAGTGCGAACAAGTACGGCCGTTCTCATCCGTTGCTACGTAAATGCTCCCGTGCTGTCACAAGCCGTGCGTGTTATTCAGCAAGGCATACAAGCTGTTATGTATGGGCTAACGCCGTCAGCACTTCCTCTTGGGCATCGTTTATCAAGTGCTGATCGCCTAGACCACTGCGGTACGTGGCACGTCAGTATTTTGAAGCGGCCTGCCGGTTACCTCGTCAGGTGATGGTACACTGAGCGACATACAAAAGTTTCCTGAGACTACGTTGATTGATTTGATTTGATTGATTTATTTGTGGGGTTTAACGTCCCAAAACCACCATATGATTATGAGAGACGCCGTAGTGGAGGGCTCCGGAAATTTTCACCACTTGGGGTTCTTTAACGTGCACCCAAATCTGAGTATGAGACTACGTTGCAGTGCGCCTTTCTGTCATCAAAACTTTGATAAAACGTGGAAATCAACATTCCTGACACCTGTGCCGAAGAAACCAATGCAGCCAGCTGCATTCAAGTTTTTGTGTCTTTTTGCGTCTCGCCGATTAAGAGCACTAATTCGCAAAACACTTTATCATAATAAATATAGTCAATCCTGCAAGAGTCATCGAAGATCCAATATTATAGGGCCTGTGGACGGGACCACCACCAACAGCAAGTCGGCCTGATGAGGAGGCGCAAATGTTAAAACAACACATGCGTGAACAAAAAAAAAAAAAGAGAAAGTATCGATAATTGCAATGGGACTTGATCCACCGTCCTCACCAGTGTATGTGTTGCTTTAACCAACTACGCCACAGGTGCCGATCAGTTTGAGGTGGCAAACAAGCCAATTTTGTATTGTTGTCATGATAAACCTAACTTTTTTGTTCACTTTTTCGGTTGGACGTAATTTTAACTGATTTTATCGTTATGTCTAGACGTACCGCTATACACTCCCGACTATTCAAACAAAGCGCCTAACCGAAAAATGCATGACGTCACTTTCGTGCAACGCAGCAGCCGTTTCTGTGTGGGGGTGGCTCGTGCGCCGCGCGGCGCAGCAGTCTCTGCCAAATAGAATTTGCCAGCCATTCCGTGAATATAGATTCCATGATGACAAACCGTGCTACAATACTCGCTTTCAGCTGCAACGGTTTAACCTCGGTATTTTTATTTTATTTTGTTCCTTTCAAATACTAATACCATACCTGGAACACAAACAGAAATATTGCATTAGAGGGGGATCACGCAGTGCTGCCACACCGGATGTGCGGGCCTGTTTGTGTCCGCTGGATGAAAATGCTATAAAGGCTGGAAAGTTCTTCCGTGCTGGAAAGCTTCTAGCACAGAGTGGGTTCTAGCCTCTATAAAAATGCGGCCACTGGATGAAAATGCGCGCAGTATGGCCTGCCACGTTGAGTGGCTTTTT